TGGAGGTCCGCTGATCTTGTTAGACGTCGCCACTTGTTCCGATCCACTGCATCTTCTGCTGTGGCTTTCACTTCAGTGAGGTCCCTCTTGATGACGTCCCTCCATCTTTTCTTTGGGGCTCCTCGTGGTCGCTTGCCCTCTATTTCGAGTTCCAAAACGCCTTCCTTATTGGGTGGTCTTCGGGCCTCCTCAGTACATGACCGTACCATCGCAGTCGCTGCTCTCGTGCCTTCAGCTGGATAGGAGCCGTCTGTGTGACCGCTCTGACGTCCTCGTTTCTGACTCTGTCGAGTCGTGTCCAGCCGCAGGCCCATCTCAGCATCCTCATTTCAGCTGAGTGAGCTTGACCTTTGCATGTTCTTTGCAGATAGGCCAGCACTCGCTGCCGTAGAGCATTGTAGGCCTTATCACAGCCCGGTACACCTTGCCCTTGAGCGTTCTCGAGCACCGCCGGTCGCACAGGATGCCAGTGGACTCCCTCCATTTCATCCAGGCTGCGTTGATTCGGGCCATCACCGCCTGGTCCACGCTGCCATCAGCTGCTAGGTTGCTCCCCAGGTACTGGAAATCCTCGACCCTTTCGATGTTCTCGCCATGGCGATCTACGATGACTTCGGCGCACTCTTCGGAGCTTAGGAACTTGGTCTTCTTTACGTTCAGCCGGAGTCCATTCGCAGCGAGCACATCCTGCCACCGCTGCACTTTGTCCTGAGTTCCTCCCTGCTGTCCGCTATCAGGGCGATGTCGTCAGCATAGAGGATGGTTTTCAGTGGTCCCTCCATGAGTTCTTTTGCCATGACATCTAGAGTCAGGAGGAAGAGGAACGGGCTGAGGGCTGACCCTTGGTGTACCCCAACCGTAATGTTTACCTCCTTCTGTCAAGCCGTGAGGGGTGCGTACAGCTGCTCTAGCCCGCATGCCGTAACATGTACCATTCACTATGGAAGATAGGTGTTCCGGAAACGATATACGTTCTCTGAGCGCTCCATCGACAGAGTACAGGCTTGGCAAGGCGTCGAACCGCCTTCTCAAGTCAGCAGAAGGCTAGGGTAAGCAGGGTCGCCGCATTCTACTCGTACTTTCTGCCATCACCTGTCTGCGATGAAGATGGCATCAGTGGTAGACCCTCCTCGGAGCATGAAAAGCCGAAACTGTTCCTGCGAGATAGGGACAAGTTCCCTCAGCCTAGTGTTGACCAGGCGCTCGTACAGCTTCATGGTATGGGGAGTCAGCTTGATCCCGCGGTAGTTGGAGCACTCCGTCGTGTCCCCTTTTCTTGAAGATGGGAACGATTGTGCTGCTCCTCCACGCATTCGGCATCCTTCCTTCAGCTGTTACGTTGTTTAGGAAGTGCGTGAGCCAACTCACCCCATGCTCTCCAAGGGCCTTCCATGCCTCTATCGGTACCCCGTCTGGACCCAACTGCTTTCGCCAGCTCATTCTCTCCCTAGCTCCCGGCGAACTTCATCCTTCGTCCAGGGAATGATGGGACCTGCCGTCGCCTCTATCTGTGGGCTATCCTTGCGAGGGAATTCTTCGTTCAGAAGTCCCTCGAAGTATTCTTCCCACCTCTTCCTGACTTCGGCTGGTTTCCTGAGAATGGCCCCGTTGCTGCTCTTCACAGTCTTTACGACCCTGATGTCCTGAGCTGCGCGATGCCGAGCTTTAGCCAGGCGGAAGACGAACTTGTCCCCTTCTCGGCCTTCCAGCTTGTCGTACAGGGCGTCCATTTCCGTATTCTTGGCCTTAGCAACGGCCGCCTTAGCGAGTCGCTTGCAGCTCTTGTAGGCAGCGTAGTCTTCTGGGCTCCGTGTCTTTTGCCAGCGTTTGTAGGCTTCCTTCTTCTGCTTGACGATCCTCTGGACTTCCTCGTTCCAGAACCAGGCTGCCTTGTCTCCTCTGATACCACCTCGCGTCTCTCCCAGGACCTCCCTTGCACACTGTAGGATGACCTCTGCTGCGTAGGTCCAGGTGTCCTGGACTGGCCCATGTGGGTCTGGGAGCCCAGCCTCCAGTATTCTTCGGCCGAGGCTATCCTTTTCTACCCTGCCCATTTTCCACCACCGAATTCTTCGCTCTGCTCTCACCCTTGTCTTCTTGGGGAGGTCTATGGCGATGTCTGCCAGGAGAGGCCTGTGCTGAGGGCCCAGCTCTTCCCCAGGCAGTACCTTGATATCCTTGATGGTTTTGAGAGACGATCTTCTGACCAGGACATGGTCGATTTCCGTTTGTCTCCCTCCACTGCTGTAGGTTACCTTTTGGGTCCTCCTTTTCGCGAAGAAGGTGCTGCAGATTGCTAAGTCGTGGGCTGTTGCTAGGTCAAGGATTCGTCCTCCCCTCAGCGTTCTTTGTCCCTATTCCTTGTCCTCCGTGCACCCTTTCTAGACCCCTTCTGTCCCTCCCAACATGACCATTCAGATCTCCAGCTATGGTGAGATAGTCCCTCTTCCGGAACCGATCTTATGGCCTCGTCCAGGGTCAGGTAGAACTCATCCTTTTCGGTTTCAGAGCAACCGGATTGTGGTGCGTACACGGTCAGTACTGTCCAGTACCCCTCCTTCGTGTCCATTCTCACTCCCATGATCCGGTCACTGATCCTGTTCACAGTGGAGACGCAGTCCTTGAGGGATTCTGCCACCGCTATGGCAACGCCATTCCGTTTGGTGTCTGCTCCATTGTAGAAGAGTTTGACGCCTTCTCCAATCTCGCGGGCCTTCGCACCCTTCCATCGCGTTTCCTGCAGGCATAGGACTTGGATATTCCTTCGAACAAGCTATCAAGCCTGTCTTTTCGGTGACTGCCTAATGGGCTTTAGTTTGACCAAAGATAGTGTAAAAAACAGATCATTGAGTGCCTCAATGGGATCGTTTCAAAAGCTCTACACATGCTCCAAAGTGCATGCATGGTTGTGGTCGAAATCGAGTTCGTGACCCTTTGAAGGGTTCACTAATGTGGAACACGATTGTGATGCCATTTCTGGAAAAAATGGAAGAAGAGAATAGTGGTTAGGAAACAGCTAACCAAGCCTTCGTTTCAAGGCACGGTCCGCGATAAGGAGCGTAGGTGTTGGCGGCGAAATGTGGAGGGGAAGTTGCCGGGTGACTCGTCCGTGAGGAGAAAATGCCAAAGGGAACGGCGAAAACACCTTTAATATGGCCCTTATGCCTCAAACAATTGCACGGGTGAAATGCCAAAAAAACCGCTTGCTGGGGCGACTTCAGTTTGCCGACTCCTTGTAATGAACCCTATGACCCCACAAGAGACAATGTAGCATCCATTTCGTGCTACTTGTCCGGTAGCATCGCTTTTGGCTGGAAGGCAGGCTTTGGAGGCGGGGTCTGGAGGCGGAGTCACTGGAAAAGGGAGGTACCACTGGAGCAATTTTGCAGCATAACTCCTACACCTTACAACTTTCGGCCGTAAAACTGGCACAGGGTTGTTCACTGCGGACCACGCTACCTTCCCATTACGCCTTCTGCATTTTCATAGGTCATCGCGGACCGTTCAACAAGGATCGTTTGATTGGTACCAGACGTGTTGTTGCCGTTATAAACAGGGTGCGGGGTAAGAGACCGTTGTTGCGTCAGTGCTACGAATGTTGCTGCGTAAACAGTCTATAAAGGGGCGTAAAGGGGAGGGATCCCTGTAATGCATGCAGTTTACCGTACCGGTTCTCCCTTTGGGCGTGTCAGTAGGAGTGGAGTAGGCCCCTATCCACACCTGTGTTTTCTACCAATAGCGGTGACTCAAAAAAACACCCAGTAGTGGACGTTGTGAATGGGCTCATTCCACGCCTCCTGACACGGTGGCGGTGTCTTTCACTAACCACTAATTAGCGAGCCGGGCAATGCCTATTGGTGGAAAACATGGCTGTCGTTGGACACCTGTCCATCCCTTGAACAGACCGCCCCATCCAGTTCTATGATTTATACGTCTCTATCTCTCTTCCGTTTGGACCCTCGTAGCCATGACTTGTCGCCGTTGTCGCTTACCGGAAAAAGAAGAAAAAAAACAGCAGGGTGGCGCTACTCCAAAGCCGTCCCTGCTTGACACGCCCCATCATCCGCAACGAACGAGGCTGTACTCAA